AGAAACTCGTTATCTCTACTCATTTTGTAGATAAAAAATGTTGAATTTTGAGGAATAAAAAATTTAATTTTCGCACAATTTGCGAACGGCGACAGATAATCGAATTCTGCAAGTTGTGCTAAATTGTGATACTTACAATACACGAGAGACGTGCGTTAAAAATTGAAATTAGCTCGAGGGTTAATAAAGATGAACAAAAAAAGGTGGCGGTGATTAAAACTTTTGATATTTCCGAATTTTCTTCGATTGTGCCGAATTGTTCTAGACTAGCACAACAACTTTTCCTAATTACAAAATCTCGTCAGATCGCCAGATTTCGCAGCATGGGGCATGTTAAGAATTTGCATTCGCATTCGCACGCGCTCGCGGGTAGCGGAGTTCAGTATGCCTCGATAAATGCACAAGCTCGGAATTGAAAGTGTGCATTTATCATAGAGTTCCCACATTGTTTGATCTTATTTCTTTTCTTAATTGTTATTGATGTTATCGATCTCTTATTTACGGCACAATTCAGCGCAAATATAGCACAATACGGCACAAAAAAGAAAAACTAAAAATTCGAAAAGTGCGGGGCTAACTTCACGCACATGAATAACAAGCGAGCGAGCGAGTACAGAGTTCAATCAAACGCGAACGAACCAAAGAGCTAAAATTACAAGAAAAGAAGAAAGAGTGCGGAAGGAATCCTTGGATAAATCATTCTCCTGTGACTTGAAATAAATAATAATTGAAATAAATAATGCGACGACCAGGACAGTCTATCGATTCGACGCTGGTTTTGTTGCAACCGTCAAATATCGAATAACAAGCGAACGAGTACAGAGTTCAATCAAACGCGAACGAACCAAAGAGCTAAAATTACAAGAAAAGAAGAAAGAATGCGGAAGGAATCCTTGGATAAATCATTCTCCTGTGACACGAAATAAATAACGATGAATAACCTCGACCGTGTAACGCGATATAAAAGTACCAACGACGCACAGTTGGGACAAAACGGCTTTCGGCGATCAAAAATCTGTAACTTTGGTTCTCTCGAAAATATTTTAATGAAATTGTAGGAAGTTATTCTCTATACTATGATACTTAAATTGTATTAGTATAAATCAATTTGAGCTACAGGGTGTCCAAATATTCACGTATAAAGTGTAACGCGTTCAATATCTTTCACTTGTTTGACATATTTATTGTTATTTAACCAAAATTCGACTCAAACCTGTTGTTAACTATGAGAGAAAGGAATTTAGTGATTTAAAAATGACAAGATTTACGTAACAATCATAGAAGTAAGCGTACAAACGTACATACTATTTTCTGTTCGAGTCCTACGTAGTACAATCGCCAATTTCTCGAAAAGGGGCACGAAGGGGCACCTGATCTTTGCAGAATCTGATAGAGGATTGATAACCACGCGTAAAGTTAAGAGTTCCGTCAAACGTACATACTATTTTCTGTTCAAGTCCCATTTAGTACAATCGCCAATTTCTCGAAAAGGGGCACCTGATCTTTGCAGAATCTGATAGAGGATTGATCACCCTTTCCAGTGATAGCAATTAAACCTCGGACAAGTGCGGTCAATTTTTGATAACCATGCGTAAAGTTACAATTTTACTTAAATGTACTTATCTCCAAACAGACTCTATTATTTAAAAAGTGGTTAACATTTTGACTTACTTTATGCCTTGATTACTATCTATACAAATCTAGTAAACATTATAATTCATTTGAATATCGTCTTTCTGAGCAAAGTTTTTTAGAATCGTATATTGAAGTTAGGAGTAACATCGTAAGCGTTTTGCTTGGACGAATTTCAACTGCCTTTGAATGCGCACCACAGCAAAACGGAAGCAAATATCAAAAAACGGGTCGCATTACATTAAACAGCAACTTCTCCTCTATCGATGTACATAAACAGTTTTTCTATTTTTCTAATTCACGAAAATCGATTTTTGATCGCCGTGAAAGCCGTTTCGTTCCACCGTGCGACGTCCAAAACATCGCCAAGAAGATATTGTTTATCAAACCCGATTTACGAGCGAAATACGTTCGACCATCGTCGGTGTACAGCGTCTGGACTGCAAAGAGGTTAACGATCCGCAGCTGGAGCGACGATGCGGACGAAAATGCACCGAGATTCCTCGGTGTTGCGTCGCACTGTCACACTGTCGCGCGTGCAGTATACCTGCATCTAGGATCCCGCAATCTGCGGACGGTTCTCTCCATCCCCACCCGCCCGCTCCTGGTTACGTCACTGACCTCCAGAGTTAGGCGAGGTCGGGCACAGTGCAACGGGAGCGTTCGGGTCACGACGGAACGAGTTGCCTGCGACTCGCCTCTGGTTTTCGATTCGAAATTCATTCAGCCGCGAAACAGTTAGTTTTCCCGCCAAACCGCGTCGCCGGGGAACGAACGAACGATTCGCGACACTTGGGCGACCTCCGATGCCGCGTTCGCTGCACCCACGCCGCTGGATAACCCGCCTGGGCATCGGTAGTAATTTTTATTTAGTTGTAGTATTATCTTCGGAAACAATGCGCTCGTAATGGGACTAAATTTCAAGGCTTCAAGGTACAGCTGGAGTTAGGGTCGCCACAATAGATTATAAGAGACCCAAAAGGATCTCTGTGGAAGTTAAAGGCACAACAAAAACAACGAATGTACATAGTCAAGTAAGGGCAAAGATAAGATGTAAGGTGAGAAGGGTCTAACAAAAAGACTTAACTGACACTAAGTGAAACTGCAAACAGAAAAGTACCTTATTATAGCTAGTTTTTAAGGTGTGATTTTTGAGAGATATATGAAGGGAGTGAGTGAGATCGAAGCGAGAAAGTATGTTCGGATATAAAGCAATCTGTATGGAAAAAAAAAGAATGTAAACAAAAATGTGATGTAATCAACTGGAGAAAGTATTAGTGTAGTATTATAAGTTTTGTTTCTGTATAAACTGATCACTTTAATGAATAACTGAGTAATTGAGTTAGGGCCGGCGTGACCTTTTGCGGGGACTGAATTCACATTCAAATCCTACACTGGAATTTTACAACGAGAAATTATTTATTTACAAATGCTGTTAGATGTTATATATATTTTATAAAATGAATATCAACTGTTTGGACTTGACGCCTTTTTTTCTGGTATGTACCAGCAACTCGAGATGCTTTCTTAGTATTCTATTGCCACGAATGGAAAGATTTATATTGACTTCTCGAATGAGATCTCTAATTTGAGGTTTGAGAATCAGGTCACCTTTGCCTCAACGCCAATCATTTTATTGGCACTTCGAATTCCAAAGAATCTAAAGAAAACCTAGTGGTGACTGAGAGTCACTTCTCGAGTGCAAAGGGTTAAATAATAATACTTTGATGATTTTTGTCGCTCCTTTAAACCGAATCATCGCTACGAGCGAGCAGTCTAACACAATCCTGACCGATTAATACGCTTCTGCCGAATGCATTTTGTCTCAGACCTCTTTCTCTCTCACTCTCTGTCCTTTTCTACGTTCGACGTTCGACTCGAGCCAAATATGACGAAGTGTGCAATAACAAAATAAGTATGTTGTGATGTGAAAAACGATGTGAAGATTTACGGAAAAAGAAAGAGAGACTTGTAATTAGATTTTAGAAAAGAAAAGAGAAAGAGAATGAATGCATAATAAATTGTAATTCGCATCCCTGGTGGGAGTTAGGTTAAGTTAAAAATGTAAGGAAAGGTTATATGTTCATATTAATTTAGCAACACTTGGTAGTGTAATAAGGCATCTAATGTATCCTTAACACTTCAAATAAATACGAAATGCGAGCCAAATGTAAACACAGAATAAAAACCTCGACTTGGACAACTGCGATGTTTGGGTCCCGATTCTCTTGTACTTTATCCAGTCTTTACTGTGATAAATGATCCGATGCCGGAGTAGTGCTCCAACAGCCCCGTAGATTCTCTCGGAAAGAATCGAGCTGTGGAGGGACCGTTCGCGTTTCGTATTTTTCGGTGCACTTGCAAGCAAGCAATAGAGATGGCTAGAATTGCTACTTGTGAATCTCTCGTGATTCGATCACGTTCGTTGGCAATCACGGTGATTTTTCACAGTGATTCGTGATTTTTCGTGATCGCTTCCGATTAGTAAAGAACATAACCGTTCCTTGCACGCGTTGTTAGAATCTTCAGCCTAAATGTAAATACACCGTAATGAAAAACACCCTGACCTGTATATTTTACATATATTCTACACAAGTATGTAATTAACGTCATCGAAACAAAAGTGCGAATTACCTACACCGCATAAAATAAAGTAAACTAAAGAATAGTAAATAAAGGAATGCTTTAATGAGGAATAGTGAAGAGTAATGAATATAAGTCAATAATTATGAATTGCAAGTCTTAGTTTAGTTGTAAGTGTCTTTAGACTTTTACAAAATGTAACACTTTAGGAAATAATATAATTAATACATAAAACATAATACGAATACTATAAATAAAATACAAAGAACAAAATAACAATAGAATAAAATATATATAATAACAAATAAGTAACTATGTACTGCTGTTAAAGAATAATAGCATAGATAATTTCTCTGCTTGCAATCCGTTTCTTTTTTCCGTTAAAAGTAATCCTACTTTAGAAAATATTCTTTCCCATGGGAGTGAAGTAGCCAGCACACAAAATAAATGATCTACTAATTTACTTGATAAAGGAAATTGAAATTGATATTATACACGGATTTTTTATGCAAACTATGTATGTTGATACATTTGATAAAAAGTAATTTAATTAAGATCGAGAATTGTGATCACGCAATTCTAGCAAGATAAAAGAACCACGATCGAGCTCGTGTATGAAATTAAATCACCATCGTGATCGTGATTTTGCGATCGCTGTGATAAATAACGGTTAGTGATTTTGCACGCCATCTCTAGCAAGCAACCGAGCACTTTGGAGTTTCGCGACGGCACGCGTGTACGTTGACCCCGTGTACTCACGACCCTGTTTTCTCGTATTGTTTCAGATCGCTCCCTCGGCAAAAAAGCTCTGGGGTGTGGACGAGGGCGGCTCCAAGGACGAAGGGGGTGTAAAAGGCGGTGGGATACTTCACCTGGGCGACCACCAGATGTGGCGAGATTCTACCTGGAGCACCTCAGGTAGGGATCTATTGCGATTCGGATACTCTTACACGTGGTACACGGTTGTGCGAGAAATCCTGTCGCGTCAAGTGGGACTAGTTAAATTTGTTTTGCGTTAAAGCGAGGTCGCATGTATGTAAGTTCGGGCGGCGAGCACGAGCAACGTCCACTTGAAAGTGTCGACTCGTCGCGCAGGAGGGTCTGATGGATCCAGGCGAGCTGGCACAACGAGCCGCGAACACCTAAACGAGCACGGAATTCCGAAAAAGGCTAGGCGCACCATCATCGCAACAGGCGGTCGACAAGGGGATGTCGTAAAGAATTGAAAATACCAACCTCGACAATTTTTATCGGAACTTTGCGGGAGTAACTTCAATCGATTCCTGATGCTTCTACGATCAAAATGATATCTCACATCGCGTAAATCGGACTATTTTCAACGAAATTATATGCAAAATCTGATTGCATAATTGAAAAGTTATTTCGTTAAAAATAGTTCGATTTACGCGCACGTGAGATATCATTTTAATCGGGAGAACACCAAGAATCCAACGGCATCGCGTTCACGTTGATACGATGAAGAATAAAGAATTCGATTTGATCAAAAACTGATGAGTCGATCGGCCGTTTGACCCCAGACCCTTGAGCGAACCCAGGTAGGCGCCTACGGTCTCGGTGAAAACAAATATTGGGGGTCTCGCTTCGAATCACTCGAAAGGGTCGATTTTTTTTCATGGAATAGTCCCCGTGCTCGCGAGCCTAGACCGTGGGCCGAGACCCAAATGCTCGTAAAAATCGACCCTTTTAAGTGGGTTCCAACCGTTCGTCGTCGCATTTAGCGACCTTTTTCTCGCTAGTAGGAACGTGTTTTCGAACAAAACTCGGCGAGCACGAGCATCACATACATACGACCTCACCTTTACACGTGGTATACGGTTATGCGAGAAATCCTGTCGCTTTATGTGGGACTAGTTAAATTTATTTTGCGTTAGAATTGTGGGTGGATGTTTCTCGCGTTAGAGGGACACCCTTCGGTGTTTTCGCTCTTTCTTTATTCGCTGTCCTTCATCAGAGAATATACGAAATCTACGATGACTGCACAAGACTCGAGACTGATCTTGTGCAGTTATGGTGACATTACACCTATAGATTACGTCACCGTACAAGTCAACGCATCGAGACCATCGCGTGATCGATATCCGCGAAACGTAGCAATGGTATCGCGCCTGTATTTTTTCTTCTTTCATTTTAACGAGCGTTTATTACGTTCAGTAATTGTCGGTCGTTAATAGAGGATGGTACCCGTGGCTTTTTCCCAGTGCGAATCCGAGTCGTTACCGAGCCTAGACTAACACAAAACCAGACTTTAATCTCACGAGCAGCGCATCCGCGCGTTCGTGTCCGATTCCCCTTCGAAGCCCTTTAAACCTCTCGAAATATCACGGTCCGCGTCGGGTTTTCTTCTCCGGACGTGAAATTAAGCGCGGTCTGATCGATACCCGTTCACCGAACGCCGTTCGTGGCTGATCGTTACGTAATCTTCAGGGTAGACGCACAATGACCGCAGGGTGACGCAGCACGAAACGGTAGAACTTCGATTGTTGCAGGAAACTCGGCTGGAAATTCTTGGAGTGATCGAGGTTCGTGCAATTAGCGAGGTAGCCAATTTAGGGGGAGGGGGCCAAACACCGCTTGCAGGGTACACTTCTATTATGTAACGTCGTCATTCGCAGACTGCGCATTTTTATGCATTCATGATGTCAGCTAGTATAATAAATACCTGCTCGACTTAACGAGAGGGTATCTACACCCTTGTTCATAAATATGTGGACACTTACTACAATGAATAATTAATATACAACTTTTGTTGCTAAATTCGATATTGGGTGTGTATTTACAACATTTAATAGTATTAAATGATTTGAGCGTCATATTCAACTTTATAGTGGAATTATGGAATCGTTTAGATAGAAAAGTTCAGAAAGAATGTTGAACGTATCAAAAATATTTATAGCGAGGTATTACAAAATAAACGAGATAATATTACTTGGGGTACAATGAACATATTAATAGTATTCAAGTTTGGTAAAAGAAATTTTAACATTATGTAGTTACCTCTATAGTTTTTTTTATCGTTACTAGACTGCGGATATTTATGCATTTATAGAAAATTTGTATGTGTAAGAACCTACAAAATGCAAACAATATGGAAGAGTATAAAAAAGATTCAGAGTAAAGTTCATATTATAATATTTGCAGAGTAAAATAAATTCTTATTTCGGTTCAATGTTTGTAGGCACGATCGCGAAGATAATCATTAATCATTATTACTTGTGATATTAATATAATATATTCGCTAATGCAACAAAAACATATTGAAACATAAATGATGTAAATGATATTAATAGGTTCGCAACTTTTATTAGATATTTATTTCCATTAAGGAAGTGTCCGCATACTTCTGAGCGGGGCTGTGCACTCATGCATTACGAAATAACGATATCAGTAAATTAATTGTAAAATACATTTAACGTACATTACGTTTTCCATATTACTGTACGTCATAAATACATAAAATCCGCAGTCTAGTTATTAGAGTTTATTCGTTGCTAAATGAACACAATTAACGTTATTCTAATAACGTCCACCTGTGGTAGATCAACTAGGTTATTGCCTCATCGGGTTATCAATATTTAACGTTCGAATTGTCCACAAATGTCAACTAGTACATCCTGCCAATACCAATGGGAATTTATTTCAAAACCTGTTCTACACCTCAACCCAACGGCTGGGAATTGATATGTATCGGTGTTAATGAGTATGTCATTGGTACCATCGCTGAACGTAACTCGTAACGCGTGGCTCATTTTTTCGCGAAACTTTCAATCGAAGCGAGCGGCGCCTTTGTCTTTCCACGTTCGCCCGTCACTTTCTCGAGGCACGTCGATAGCGATCCAGCGGGTACCGAGAAGGGCTTATTACACCCGTAAATATTATTTGCGCATTGGCTCGTTTGACCGTGGCTAGTAGACCAGTGATATATCGTCGGAACTGGTTTCCTTTGTCCTCAGCGTCCGAGCAAACGGTCCGACCGATATATCGTTCTTGATTAGTCGAAAACTCGTTCCTACCTCCACTTTATCCGTCTTATGAAACTAGCGCACGGAAAAAAAATATAGAGATCGATTGCGTCACGGGAGTTTCAAAAGACGTGCTATTGTTCCGAGTAATCGTACGTTTCGTGCTGACGTACAAGAATTTTGCACGGTGATGATAAATGCATGGAAATTAAGAAATTTGGTACTTGATACATTTTATAAGTCAAATGAAATTAATTGAAAAAATCGAGTAGAGTAGTATTTTCTCTAATGTCCGCCGTAGCTGCGCCAGTGGATCGCGTGGGATTCATTACCCTAAACCGGGTAAGGACGCGTCTGCATCGAAGAATGCGTTCGCAGCGCAGCCCAAGTGCCAATGAGCGAATCAGCTGCTGTGTTATGGAAATCGTTCTCCATCGTTCGAAAGAGTCCACCGAGCCAAAACAGGGCGAGGTAACGAGCCGAATTCGATTAACCGACGTGTCCTTTTTCCGTTTGCAGCGAAATGCGTTGCAGCAGACGGGCTTGAAGGTCCTTGCTACTGACGTAGAGTACAATTCCCCGAATGGCTCGATACGATGCGCCTGTTTTGTCCCGGTAAAATTAGAAAAAGATGAATCGCATAAAAACTGATGTGTGTGAAGTTAGCCCCGCACTTTTCGAATTTTTAGTTTTTCTTTCTTGTGCTATATTTGTGCTGAATTGTGCCGTAAATAAGAGATCGATAACATCAATAACAATTAAGAAAAGAAATAAGCCGAAGCTGTCGGCAAAGATCAAACAATGTGGGAACTCTATGATAAATGCACACTTTCAATTCCGAGCTTGTGCATTTATCGAGGCATACTGAATTCCGTTACCCGCGAGCGCGTGCAAATGCGAATGCAAATTCTTAACGTCTGATTCCTAACTATGCCCCAACGCTGCGAAATCTGGCGATCTGACGTGATTTTGTAATTAGGAAAAGTTGTTGTGCTAGTCTACCACAATTCGGCACAATCGAAGAAAATTCGGAAATACCAAAATTTTTAATCACCGCCACCTTTTTTTGTTAACTTTTATTGACCCTCGAGCTAATTTCAATTTTTAACGCACGTCTCTCGTGTATTGTAAGTAGCACAATTTAGCACAACTTGCAGAATTCGATTATCTGTCGCCGTTCGCAAATTGTACGAATATTAAATTGTTTATTCCTCAAAATTCAACATTTTTTATCTGCAAAATGAGTCGAGATAACGAGTTTCTATCAATGGCACAACGTAGCACAAGTTAGTACGCATCTTTCTATAGAAAAAAAAGTTTGTTTCGGCAAAAGTGCGGGGCTAGTATAATTTTGGTTTTTATTTATTTTCTTAATTGTTATTGATGTTATCGATCTCTTATTTACGGCGCAATTCAGCACAAATATAGCACAACACGGCGCAAAAAAGAAAAACTGAAAATTCGAAAAGTGCGGGGCTAACTTCACACACATTAAAAACTGACAGATCGTCAGAGAGGCAGCATTTTATTCGAAAAATAGCTGACATACGAGAGCACGATACAGTGGTTTATTCATAGGCACTCGATACTTTACCGACCGGTGCACAGTGGGATATTTCACCAATCTAGCTGACCAAAAGAAAAGGAGCCCCCAGATTTATATGAAACTTCGTATACAAGGGTTTTTGGAATCGTGGATTCCGAATCTGATATAAAAGAACAAAAAATCAAAATGGCGGATCCAATATGGCCGACTTGTATACTAAAAAGTTGTTAGATTTGTATGAAATTTCATATACAGGAATTTTTACCGAAATTGATTTTTTTGCCGAAAATTTTTAAAGAATCGCGCTTTTTCGCGGTTGTTTTTTACATAATAGGTTAGTATAAACACTAAGTTGTATGTCTGAGATAAAATAATTGCCGGGACGAACCCTGAAGTAGACTAAACTCTTTCTTGTCGTTTAAAATTAAAATCAAAGTAAGAGTGAAAAGGTTATTTTTAAAGCCTTTTTTATATAAGTTAAAAGATACAAATAAAAAATAAAACGATTAAATTAATAGATACTTACCAGCTTTAACACAATCCATAATTCATTATGATCAAATATTCGCACAAACAAAAATGTTCTCTTCTGAAATACAGCAAATACAATTTTAGCAAAGCACGATGCTTACGTGAAAAACACATTCAGATACGAGTGACTTGCACTTAAAGCCCGGTTGTTAGAGTTGCGAAATGGGTTGTTTTTGAAATTTGTTTGACATTACCAGAAGACATTACTTTTTAAGTATTATAAACTTCAAAAACTGCACTTTTGGCCAGCTAGATTGGTTAAATATCCCACTGTGCGGTTGTCTGTTAATCGACTCTTCGCCATAGCAACCGATACATTATTATCTATCACCGAGATAGCATTGCGTGCTCCCGTCATTTATGAAACATTATTTAAATATTAATTCTAGTAGATGAAATAGATATTGTTACGCAAACAAAAAATATTATTACATTTAATTATATCTCCAACCGCTACCGGTCGGTAAAGCTTTAATTCGCCATTTTCACGCTTGTACTTTCATGCGACGATAGACCCGGGAGTTTATATTAAACGACGAACTTGTAAGTGGACAGAAATATTTCATACATGCTAAGTGCAGAGAGTGGCGAAGCATCGGGATGCAAAGGGAACGATACCACGGTGAGTTTTACATCGTGCTCGCTTATTGATTGGTACAGAGCACCGAAAGAACAATATACAGGGTGTTCCAAAAATGTTGTAACACCTTGAAAGGAGTGGTTCGGGGAGTGATTTGAAACAACTTTTTCCTTAGCGAAAATATTGTCCGAGGCTTCGTTGAGGAGATATTAACGAAAAACACTGACCAATTAGAGCGCGCGTATACCGTTGGAGCGGCCGCGGTAGCGAATGAGCGTGGCCGCCTAGCGCGTAGCCTACGCTCAACCGGCATACTCGCGCTCTGATTGGTCGGGGTTTTCTATTAATATCTCCTTAACGAAGCCTCGGACAATATTTTAGCTAAGAAAAAAGTTGTTTCAAATCACCTTCCGAACCATCCATTTCAAGGTGTTTCAACATTTTTGGGACACCCTGTATATAGACGAAGTAGAAACGCAGTGTCTCCAATGGTTCGAGCGGAGTGTCAGTAATCGATAAATCGGCTACCAAAACAGATCTACGTTCCGTTTGCCTTTCGCGAAAACAAAGGAAATCCGTGTCTCCTACGAGCTAACGCGATCAATCGATACCGTTTCTTTCTGGTATGTTCGACGTTGCGCGAGGAAAGTTGTGTATTCCCCCTTTAAGGTTATGTTAACCTCTCGAACCAAGCGTCCTTCCCGCGTCACGATCTACGAATCTTCGCTAACGGTCGACAGTTCCGCGATGTTTATACGATTACAAATCAAAACAGTCGACGTTCCTTTGTCCCTGGGGCGGTCGAACGAGATACATTACAGAAAGAATTCTATTTACGCAGCTCGCGAGTCAATGGTATGATACGATATATTAGTAATTACGAATGTACGAATTACTTTTTAGGTTATACTTTATTAGAATAGAATTTTGTTCGTGTCTCGGCATCGAGGTCTAGAATATTCTATAAGTTACACCGACATCGTCGTATTTCCCTGCTACACGATGCGTGACAAAGTGAATTTGATACTTATTATATTGTACGCAAATTGAATCTCTACTTTCCTTATTGGAAACATAATATCTTCAATTACGTGTTACATGGTAAATAGGTTAGTGGTTACTGTGACAACGCTTCGGTTGGAGAGGCAAACGAGTCCATAAATGTAGAAGCCGGGTTTTATTAAAATTACTAGCCATTAGCGGCGCTAATATCCTAGAATTCGTTTGTGCTCAACGGCCTGTACATTTTAACTCTATGTAGCATGATGATACGTGTTTATGCATCTAATATCGGGGTGCTTACAACAGTGATTCTCAACGCTTTTTCACCCTATTCGGAACATCAACCCCGACAAGTAGAATACTTGGTCAAATAGAAAAGTGAGATATTCGAAACCCAACATAACCTTAAAATAGCTACGATCTCGCCGTAAAGTCCCGTGACTTTTAAGGGGTTAGTCACAGTCAGGAAAATGAATACGGACATTTTCTTGTGTGTGTGTTTTTTAGGGTATTAAATAATAATTTTTATTAATGAAATTTAAATATATGACAAAGTATGTCTTAAACATCTATAAAAGAATTTTTGCTTTAAACAAAGGTTAATTCATTTCGTCGTAACATGCGATGTCATGGGTGGCCATTTTGTTTGCGGTGAGCAAGATTTCTCCGAACTGGTATACCTGAAAACAAAAATAAAAGTGGATTTGGAGAATATATTAGACTAACGGGTCCCTTAAGTGCTAAATGGTTAAGCTGAGGACTGTTTTGTTATTCGATCTAGTTTCAATTACAGTTTGTTTGTTTGTTTGTTTGTTTTTTTATTCCACAGTGCGTGGCCAGGTAAGCCCATATAGCACTCCTCTTTCTGTACAGTATGTTACAATCTTCAACATTTTTCTTAAAATTAGTTGTACATTATCTTCTTATTCTACTTAGTTATCTAGACCTAATTATATTCTAGACTGGCTTAAACAGATAATCAAAAAATATTTTGAAACTATATTCTTATGTTTAATATTATAATATTCTTATGTTTAATATATATATATAACTACTTATATCTATTTTTTTTTTACGTTTTGAAGCTAGTTGAAACCTCATTCAGTTCGTTTTATTTAGAGTCTTTAAATCACTTTCATTGCACTTGTAATTGTGCTTATTTAGTTATCACAGATTTTATCTTGGCAGTCTTTTGGTTACCTTGTGAGATTCTATACGTTGTCAATTATTACTTTATGTGATAATATATACTGTGTCGTGTTAAGTGAGAAATATTTAAACAAACATATATATATATATATATGTATACACATATGAGATAGCTAGAAATTGCACTTCCTATCTTCTTTGCCATCCCTTTCTCTTAGATGATGTTCTTTTTCCGCATTAGTAAAAGTCTATGTATAAAAAATACACATTTGGATCTTAAAACTATTCCTTTTCAGGCGTCATTGCTTATAATCATAATACTGACGCTTGTTTCTTTAAATTCTACGTGATATCAATAACAGTTTACATCAGCCTAGTGTGACCTATGTACCAAAGTCGTATTTCTTCGGCAACCACTAAGCAGATTTCGTTGAAATTTTCTGGGAATATTTCCACCATCGTATAGCTTAGGAAAACCTAAAAAAAAAAACCTAATCTAACCGGGCATGGTCCCTTTAATGAATCCTCGGCGGTAATTGGCGGAGCGTCGAGGGGCGCGAGGGAGTTTAGAAAGGTCGCGAAGAGGTTGTTCCTCGTCGAGGCTCGAGTCGTACGGGTTTGTCGCGGGAGGGCGATGCTACCGCGACGGTGTGTTGTCTGTGCAGGCGTGCGCATGCATGGAACACCTGATTCCCGCGACGGCATGGTACCAGCATTTCCATGTGGACGCTGCCCGCCACGGTTCCCTCGGGCGTCTGTGTGTGTGTGCGTCACCGCGCGATGGGTGCAACGCGGCTGTTGCCATGGCGACAGACGCCCGGCATCACCGGCGGTGGGGGCAACGTCCCAACGCCCAGGGTCGTACCTACTGATCCACCCTGCGAGCCGAGGCCCGCGCCAACCCCCCGGCCACCTGGACCACCAGTTCTTAACCTTTTCAAGCCCACGGCACAGTTTAGAGGAAGACCTAATATTCTCACCCCTCGCAGGCTACCTCAGACAAGTAATCCTGCGCAGGTGCTAATCACGACCGCTTATAGGAATGTTTGCTCGATTAAATTCAGTTGTGTATTTCTAGCCCCTTTAACAGTCAGAATATTTACTTCGATTTTCGTATTATTTTTGCTTGTCACCGTTTCAAATATTTAATTCACCACACTTCCATTTGCCCGGCTCTATCCTCGCCATATCGAAACCGCCTGCTTTTACATTTCCTAAGAGACGTCGAGCATTTTTACGATGGAATTTACGTTACACCTTTGCGACTTTCTCGGCCCTCGCGCCTTTTATCGATCACCGGTTGATATACCAGCACGAGCGCGATACGAGTGTTTTGAGATATCGTTCGCGATTTTTCTTGGTCGTTAGATAATTTTATACATCGATCCTTGACGCTATTGCGTCCACGCTGTTGTTTAAATCGTATAAACACGAATTATATGGATCACCTAGCAGCTTCCTTCGAGCCTAACCTTAATTTTCGCAATCACGAGCATTAAACGATTTTAACGATCGCTTGAAGGGGCGGGGAAACCGTTTGGTATTCAAACCGTTTGGTATTCTATGTCACGCGTCGGCAGTGATTTCTCGTAGCGACCATACGTTTAGGTACAATATGCGTCAACGTGACACACCGATTACAGATGTTTTAAATACGTTCCAGATCATGCCGTGTCACAGCCAATTTCCATGGGCACCGGTAGACGCGTGGGTGTGGGGACGGGGTATCACCACCAGACGTCAGAAGTTGGAACAGTCCTCAGTCCAAGAAGCAGGTTAGTATGAAACTTGGAAACCGATCGAGAACCATCTGTGGTACTTTACCAATTGAATGACGATTTTACAGCGAAACGGGTGGTCTGGGGGTCAAAATGGTCGAATACGTCCTTGGATCGAGCCCCACGACGCCCAAAGATTTAGAACCTAGAATGGTCTCCCTGAGATTGGTAAGTATGATCGTGGCGAAGGGACGAACATCGAAAAGGACAATTTTTACTTTCTTATCTAAGATACTGGTAATATGGATACAGAAATCAAAACATTTCCTTGGAGAACTCAGGGTCAAGAACTGTTCTTATCGATACCTGTCCTTCAACGTAGAACAGTTGCGATGCCGATATTCAAATGCTGTACTTACTATTTCCTTTCCACGCAGAACACCGACGCGGACAAGAAAGAAAAAGAGAAGGGCTCGGCAAGTCCTTTCGACAGTTCTAAAGACGACACAGGTCCACAGAATAACGGATTAGCATCGCAAAACGGTCTCGATGATGACAAAGGCTTTAAGTGAGTATTAGAAAATAGTCGAGAATGACAAACACACTGCAGAGGTTCACCCTCATCAAATTATTATATTTTTGTTTACTATAGTGAAACAAATAATAGATCCTCCGTCGAGGCTTGCTTGAGAATTCCGTCAAACTTTAGAAATCCCTTTATCCCTTTAACAAAAGTAGCATCAAAAATAAAATCTATATCATAGTGGTTTCAACCATCTAATTCGAGTCTCACGCGCATAACCGAGCCATCGCCGTATGCAAACTTCGAGGTGGGCAAATCTCGATCTTTTCTCATTATCTACGCGCATAATTGCATTCAATCGGACGATCGCAAACATGTCACGGGTTGTTCGTGAGCGATCGTCATTGGTCCGAGGGCCTCGATCGAGGAACGCAATAGTAGCAACTGTCAAGGGCGTGCGTGCTCTACTCGCGGACGATGACATCATATGCTCTCGGTTCTTTCTCTGACGTTCGTTGCACCGTCGCTATGCGCCATCTGGTGCCTCGAACGTGCATCGTTCTCGGGGCTGCCTTACCGACTCTGGTTCTACGGTTCGCTGTTCGCAACTCTGCAGTGTCTTTGATCAATTCACGCACATCGACCGTAAACTCTTTTTACCTACCTGTAAACAGACCGTATTATTCTGTACAAAAGTTAATTCTAATATTTAGTAAATGACAAGGGGATGTCGTTCTTCTTAAAAGCGATGCAAACAGTTAAAAAGGATAAGACCATATCCAAACATTTACTTTATTTTTTATACATATATCCTCACTGATGACATCATCTCCTTGTCATGCAACGATTTACTGGACAGCTAGTGCGTACACAAAGTCGAGGCAGTTGTCAACTCCGTTGTTATTCGTCATTGGTCTTCCGAATTCGTTACCGAGATCAAACGAAAACCAGAAAACCCGACTTAATAAATATAGTAACTAAAGCGTAGGATAATGTAGCAACTGACCGATCTTGGCGGTCGCCTCTACTTAATAATTCCATTATGGTGATGTTGTTTTCTCATCGCTGCTGCTCGTTATGGTTATAGCAGCCGTGCTACCCCTTTTTTTCCTCGCGCGAAATCGTAGGCACGGGTCCTATCAACCAGGCCTCGCGTTTTATTGCATCGCCATTATGCAAAATGACCCGTTACGCCGCGTCGCTAATCGCATAATCGTGGAATCTCGCGCGACCGGTTTAGGCGCTTTTCGTATGAAATTATTCAGGCTATTGACCCGACAACGATGACTCTGGCAAGAAAAATCAAGATACCCGAATGCGTTCCAGTATCCCAATTTTACAGTTGGATAGTTAAGTAGGGTTAGTTGGCGGATATTCAAAGCGAGCAGATTTCGATGAAAACTAGTTGTAACGCAGTGCGGTGTTTGAGTGCAATCGTTCATCTTTGGGCACGCTACGGTTATATTGTATATACAGGAAGGGATGATAGTTTCTATGCAATCTAATCTCGAAACAAACAAACGCTGTTTTGATTGTGTTTCAAACATCGAGATTAGACATTTGAAAAAAGAAATGTTGGTGTAGGAAGTTTGGATATCGCGTTTGCGTCAGAAATTCCATGTACTCGAGAGCTAGGTCCCTGACATTTACTATCGGTTACGCCGTCCTAGGAAAGACACGTCACTTTCTTTATATAGAAAATAAGAATACTAATCTCGTATCGGTGCTCGATCGGTTTCTGCGTAAATGCTAGAGCCGAGGCAGTCCGACGATAGCCTCCGTCATCAGGAATCTGTGACTGCTGGGTTCATCGCGCTAAATAAACGATTTCCTTATTGACTCGACGAAATGAAGATATCTCGACGGTTTTATTGGGCCATAAACATCGAGCAGCGAAGGATTTCTGTTACGCGTCCAACAATGTGCAACGAGTCACCGGAGGTTTACGCACCGCTTGAAGAAGTGCATCTGTTCAACCGGTTAACAGTCGCGTTTATCTTCGTCCCGTACGCCCCGGTCTGCGAGTCGCTTTCATTTGAAACGAAACAGCGAAATGCGTGAAATGGAGCGCGAAGCGATAGAAAGAACTTTTGTTCCTCGGGAGGAGTTGCATAATCCCCTAGTCATTATTTCCTCGAGGCTTTCGAATCGGCGTAGCGTTGCGGTTACCGTTACTGTTACTCGTCGAGTCCAGTTCCCGACTGTTTGCAGTCGATACATTCCACTTCGTGGGTGTATTTTTAGTAACCAGGATAGTAAAAGGTTTAGACAGTCTAGAACAATGGAGAAGCGAAGTCTCGTTTTACCTTGGAGCAATTCATTCTGTAATACTTTTATTATTATTTGCTACCGCGAACGTTACATTCAATCCTATCAACACCTGACAATGGCTCTGACTTGGGTACCGTAATCGATGATAATTTATCACACAGCATCATCGATTCCATTGAGTTACGCGTTCCATGAGAAGCTTTTGAGAGAAATATTAATTAATTATATGCCATTATCCCTCGTTATATAGCATATTGTTCCGAAACCTGACGTTTGATTCGTTTGCAGCCGTACACCTGGCAGCCGCCAGCCCTCGCCCGGGGAAGAAGAATTCCAAAAGAACGCTGCGGCGACCTTAGCCGTGAGCGCTGGCGGTGGCGGTGTGGTGTTGCTGAAGCCCGGCGTCGACGTGGTCGGCAGCGAGGAGCATTTCATGGCCGCGTTCGCTCCAGCACCGCCTCACCATCTTCAACATCACCAAGCGCCACCGACCCACCATCTACAGCATCCACATTCGCACGCTGCGCAGCTCTTTGGTGCGCAGGCTCCGCCGCCCCCGCAGGGTCCGCCGCCGTCGCAACAACAACAACAGCAACAGGGACCGCCGCAGCCGCAAGACACCACCACTCACTTTGACGTTCAGGTGAGTCTCTTCATTGTTCGTCCCTCTGGACAACCTGGCTATGCATGCAGCCACGACAGAGAATCCTCAGAGGAATATACAACGAGGATGTCTGACATCTTTAGGATCGGGCTAGTGATTCTTAACCTTTTGAAACCTTTGTGCTTTGAGAACATTTTAGTTGAAACCACGTAGGGTTAAGAATCTCTGTCTTATGAAGTACTATATAAAGTACTCCGACAAGAAATTACGTAGTCAGTTCCATCCATCGAGTTTTATTAGAGCGCACCCGATTGCCAAGCAATGCCCGGCCGAACGGTTCAGTCAGAGGAATGTCGATAGTATGCGCCTAGCCCGAGGCTCCGCAGAGGCGAGAAATTCCTCGAGCAGCATTGTAAGCTTGCTTATGGGTCGGTCTCTGTTGTTCTTGGACCAGGTACCAGGATGATTTCGACGGATTATCGGAAGAGTGGCCCAGTTTTCCCCCCTCCGCGGGACTTGGGGTATATTTTGGTGCAAGAATTGATAAATAACGGACGTGGCCGTAAATTGTGAAAGCAGCCGGGCCAGCTTGGCCGTCCTACATAAACGTGCATCGTAAGGTGTGCCGATGACTATCGCGGGCAGCTCGGTCGAGTAGTTGAACGAAACTCGTGCATTAACTGATTGGGACGCCCCATCGGTGCACTTTACGTAAACAATTTACCAGATATAGTTACGCGTAGCAGCGTACCGGAAGATAGAGTGCGAGCAACGCGAAACGTTCGCAAGTTGAATCGTAAATTAGCTATGGGAGCGAGAACCGGGATTATATTGCGCGGGAACTTTTCGATAGATGCTTCGTAATTAACCAGGAGGTTTAGCGAGAAATGAAATAGATTCGAAGTTTTATATTAACTCTTTGCACTCGTGACATGACTCTCGGTCATCACTAGGTTTCACGCAGTAAATAGGCCAACAATAATATTTGTTAAGGTCTGATTTCTTTGGAACGCGAAGTGTCGATAAAATGGTTGTCGACAAGGTACAGGTGACCTGATTAAGCTTAGTGGCAATAGAATACCAAGAAAGCATCTCGAGTTGCTAGTAGATACCAGAAAAAAAGGGGTCTCGAGTGCAAAGGATTAATAAATATCTAGAGGATTCTCATCGAAGTCTTTACAAGGTGCTAACTATTTTTAAAATATGGAACCTCTCTCCAGGGTCAATTATTCGAACAACAAGGAATCGAAAAGTCCTTTACCATCCTGCGATCGGAAGCTCCGTTATCCAGATGCAACCAAAGTTTACCTGTGGCTCTCAAACTCGCTCTATTTTACCCCAGTCAGCTGATCACGCATTTCCAAGCTTCCAAACGCTCGTATCTCAGCAACGAGGTCTCTGGTCGCAAGATGGTAAAGGACTTCTCGATCCACAATACCGCGAAGAATTGATCTCGAACGAAGGTTTCACAATTTTAGCAACACCAAAAGTGAAGCTATAGAATTCGTAGGCTCTTCTCGATTTCACTTTGTCCCATCCTGTCAGCCAAAGAGTATGCTAATGTTCTCGGTGTCGTAACGTCTTCATTACGCAGCGCGACGCAGCTGTGAAATTGTTTCGCAGGCTCGTCCTCGGTTTCGTAAACGTGTGATCCTTATTCGTTCGCGTCGCGGTTACCCCCTTTCCTCTCCGCGATCCTCGCGTCGCCACGAAACTCGTGGAATCCATAACAGTTCCATAGCCGTGGCGAAGTATTTAAAGCCTGTAGATGGTTTTCCAGCCCGAAGGGCGTCGTTGCCGGCGTTAATTTAGCGATTGTGCCGTTGACTAGGAAGAGGTTATTTTTAAGCAGCGGGAGCAGCTGATGCTAACGAGCGGTCCAACCACCGAGCGCAACCCTCTTGTACGGGTTCTCGACGGACTTCCTTTGCTTTTGAAGTCGCGTTTCATTCGAACGGGTCCGTCTATTCGAGCGTGCGACTACAAGCGAACAACAACGTCGCTGCGTTCAACGCGGCAATAACTTTATACACGTTTCAACGGGATATATATATTTTTTCTTTTTTTTGTAAAACACCGCGAGCATTAGCAACGGGGGGATGAGAAATTAGCGCGACGAACTTAACGGATTACGTTAAGGGCGACGAGCCGGGAAAACGAGGTAGCTTTTGGAAGTTCTTCTTAGGGACGAGCTGTTAGTTTTAAAATTCACTTTGTTCTCGGTGTTATTCAATGCTTTTGGTTGTAATTTAGCAGATCTTTTTGACGATAGAATTTTTATGACAATGGGACAGATATACAGTTAGTGTAGGAAGTATTCGTACAGCAACCAATTCAAAATAAATCTAATAACGAAAGAAATAAGAGTTAAACGTTAAAAGTAATAAAGTTTAATTTACGCAAAATCTACTCTAAAAATATGTAGGAATGTTGGTTAATTATTTCTTCCCCAAAAATTTATGAATAAAATTGATTTTTGTACGAGTACTTATTAAACTGACTGTAGAAGTCTGATTTTCCAAATTAAATTTAAAACAATATCTATTTTAAATTAATTTTAAAACAATATCTACCAAATTAAATTTATAACAATATAAAGGGCAAAATAATGAAAACAAAATCACAATAGATGTTTTATATACTTATTTCGAAAAAAGCAGATATCAATAATAACATACATACAGGCAAATATTAAAAACAAACCAATTGCAATTGTACGATTCGATTTAAAAGTCCGGTATCAAATTTGAAACTTAGGGTATTTAAGGGTTAAGTACGCGTAGGAAACACAGTGGCAATAGGAAAACTATTTTTGTGGGTTCATTCTAATTTTTAATATTTATAAATTTGTACAAAATAATACAACTACCGATGCTTCCTTTATTTTTTACTAAAAATATCCACGAGCTGCCAAGCTAATTTTTCAGGCTCTCGCCCAAACGTCGTGACCTCTTGCCGCGTCAATCATAGCGGGTTCTAGCCATAAACTATCACTTTGTACGCGTAACGAACGCGCGTGTGACGTTTATTTCGTCTTCGACTCCGCGAGTTGGCAAAGACGCGGACATTCGCCATTCCCAACCTCGTTCTTACGTTTTCATAGGCAATCAAACTGTATCCCAATGCCAACGCAATGTAGTACGCGGATAATAACGGTCGTCCAACGGTAGCTAGCTAACGCTAAGAAGGAATATTTTCGTCGTGTAATGTTCGACGCGTACGCGGCAACTTTTCTCCGCTTTTTTCCTCGGACGAGCTGACAGGGAAAAAAATAGACGTGTCACGTTTCGTGCTTGCGTCATTGATGGGAACTCATTTGACCCTCTTGTAATTTTAACGCTGTTTCTTTTATTTTTGGTTTACGCCAGATCCAGTGACCTGTTAAAGAAAATGCGCCGTTGTAATCGAATCGGTGTAGTTCGCAGTAGTTACGAGGGTAAAAATCTTTTATCGTTGGTCATCTTTTCTTTTATCGAAGAAATTTTAAATTATTTTATTCTATACATAGACCAACCGGTAACCTCGATTTTTTGCTCGTGCAGATTTCCTTGACGCTGCCGTCAATAAATCCCGACACAATTACGGTACCTTTCAATTTCAATTGCTATTGTGCAGAACAATCTGCGCGTTTAAAGTGCCAATTAAGTTTTCGATGTTTTCTCCGATTGCAACGTTAATGGCACGTTCGAAATTGGGACATTTAAATCCTTAATTGTAGCTTAATATAATTCCTGACGAAGGAAGCGAAGCCAGGAGGAAATCAATTCGGGATTCAAGCGAATCTTAAGTATTGCCCGTAAATACTAACGAACGATACGGATAGTTACGTCTCGAACAAGTATAGGCTATTTTCACGTAAATGGTTCAATCGTCGATTGGATTCTACAAACAAAATTGACAGCAAAAATATTCTTAAGGATTCTTTTCCATTTTGTCAAGGCTTTTCGCTAAATTATCGAATTATCAGGCTGACCAAAATATTCGTTCGGATTTTAACGCACAGATAGATGGAGATTTTTCTTCGACAAGAAGACATTAGGTCTACCGGAAAGTTCTGTCTGTTCCATTACAACAAGTTTTTAACAAGTACGCGCATATTCATTAAAACCGATATACAAATTGCAATCATGCTGGCAAGATGTCATAAATAACGATACAAATTATATTATTCAATAAAATTGATTGAAGGTACGAGAAATTTATTAGTGGTAATTGGAAGATTTTCTTTGGCTTCATTTTAATTTTAATATTAATACCATTAATATCCCATGTTTCCCACTTTATTATTCTAAAAACGGACAGAACTTTCCGGTAGACCTAACATTTCGGTAATATAATTTGAATGTTCATCTTTTGGTCGCCATTTTCTTCCTTTAAATGTCGCCACCGAGACGCAAACGAACGATCTCGTGTGGTTCCTATCCTGACGACCTTGGTTCGCTTCGTCCTTGGAGATCTAGCCTCGTAGGACAGGGTTTTTCTCCCTCCCTCCATCCCGTTCCGCGTGGTTCGGTGTAAAAAGACCCTCCGTATTGATACGACCCGTCAGGCTTAAGAGACGAGCCCGGTAGTAGGGGAATGGAGAACGACCTCGTCCTCGGGCGCAGACAAATGTATAAATCACCGAGTGACAAGTTCTCGACATCTACTTCGAATCCTATTCAGAAAATAGAGCAGACGATATATAGCCATCGCGGCACATATTCATATTTATGCACGTTACAGCGGCTGTCCGAACATTCTATCCCGCGAATGCATCAAAATGCCTTCCGTTACGAAACCGTTCGCCCCCTCGACGTGCAGTAATTTTCCCACGGAATGGAGTATTTTAGCTCTTAATTCGTCCCAAATTGCTGATATTCGAATCGAGCGAATTTTGCACCACGCACAGAATGGGAAATTTAGGACGACAAAGCTGTGGGCGGACCTCTCTAAGCGTCGCCACGAATTCGCATACTTGTTGTTCGCTGATGGGCGACATTTTATTCGAATAATGAACGGACGAACGATAACACCCGCGCAGCCATTTATTCGCTATG